GGAAGAGGAGGAGGAGGAAGGGGACGACGGGGCGGACGGGACAAGGAAGCGGCAGCACAGAGGGCGAGGGGGACGCGGTGTCGTCGACGAGGAGGCAGGAGCGGCCCGGCGGGCTCCCCCGCGAGGACCAGCAGCGCCGGTTCGAGGAGCTCCGCCTGGCGGCAGAGGCGAGCGAGAAGGCGCGCGGGGCCGCCGCGGCCGACAAAAATACCCCGTTCTACCACTTCGAGGGTCCGTTCTACCACTCACCTTGGAGCCCTTCTACCACTCCCAAGTTGTCCAACACCACGCGTGCCCGTTCTACAACGTAGCCGGGGGCCCCGTTCCACCACTTGGCTAGAGGGCCGTGCTACCAATTAGCCAGGGGGCCGTTCTACCACTTAGCCAGGGGGCCCGTTCTATCACTTAGCCACGGGGCCCGTTCGTTCTACCACTTCGACAACAGCGACGTCGGCGACGACGACGACGACAACGACGACGACGACGGCGTCGGCGACGTCGACGGCGACGCCGACGATGACGACGGCGACGACGACGAAGACGGCAGCGACGACGGCGAAGACGACGACGATGTCGACGACGACGTTGACGATGACGACGGAGACGATGATGACGACGACGACGACGACAACGACGACGACGACAACGGCGGTGGTGGCGGCGGCGGCACCAGCGCCGGTGGCGGCTGCGGCGACGACGGCGGCGCCGACAACGAGGGCAACGACAGCGTTCACAGTTCCGACGACTGTGCCGACGATGCCTTCGACGGCACTGGACCCTGTCTCCGTGGGGCCGCCGCCACAGGCCCATCCGACGGTAGGGCTCAGTGCTGTCGTGGCTTTGACCTTTTCTGTCAAGCGGTCTTCGCTGCTAGTATAGATATCAGTTTTGTCTTGCCCTTGTGGATTTGTTCCCCAGCTCCTCACATGCCTGGTGCTACGGCGCCAAGTTGCGCTGTCCCCGCTGGCTACAGCTGCAGGTCTGATGCCCCGGATCTTGACCCCCCGGACGGAGACCCCCGGAGGCAACCGAGAGTTTCCAGAGGTTTCCTCAGACTTGAAAGCGACCCAACAAGTTTCAACCATTCTAAACACTTCCAACTAGGTCCCTCCTGCATCCTGCCCCCAGTTGGATATGAGGGAAGCGGGTGGAGACGATTTCTGTTCTTGGCATCCCGAAGTGATTCGGCGATTCTGGAAACATGAAAGTTTCCGAAAGCCCCGAAACGCCGAAACAAATACATGTTCCTTCTCATGCAGCGCAGACGTGTGTTCGCGCGGTCGGAAGGTAGTGGGATCGTGGACAACAGTGGTGCAAAGAGAGGCCGCCCTAATACAGTCGCAGAGCAACATCCGTAGCCATTTTGGCTCAAGCCGTCTTGGTTAGAAAACCCAGTGCGCCTCCCGGGGCTGGTGACTCTCAGACCCGGGCGTCTCTTCAAGGCGCGAGAAGGACTGAGCTGCTCGGCACGCCCATGCGCCGCCCGGCCGCGTGGCCGCTGGCGAAGCCTGGCGGCCGCGGCCGCAGACCGCGGGAGGCCGGAGCGGCCGTCGCCCTCGGCGCCGCTGGCCTCGCGGCGGGCGGCGTCGCGGCCGGCGGCCCGCCGCGGCCGGTGGGGCCCGCGGCGAGGGGCGGCGATGAGCCCTGGGCTCGCCCGGCGGGCGCCGGCGCGGCGTTGCCCGTCGATGTCGCCGCCGTCGGGCTGGTGCACGCTTTAAGTGGAGCGAAGCTGGCGCCCGTTGGGGGGTACCAGGGCAGCTCGTCCGCAACAGCGACCACCCTGCTCGGCGTCGCCGCCGCCGCCGCCGCAGGGTCCATGAAGCAGGTGCCCAGGCAGGACCTGCGACGGCTGCTGCTGCGCGCGCGACCCGTGCTCGTCGTGGCGCTGCTGGTGCTGCAGAAGTGCGCCACCGACGGTCTGACTTGGTACACGCGCACGCGTGGGAGCGTCCCGTACTCAGGCTCCAGCGCTGCTCTCCTGAGCGAAATGCTAAAGTTCCCTGTCATGGCCGTGGCCATCGCGGTCTCAGAGTCTCCTGGCAGGGTGCTCCCGACCTTCCGGAACGCGACGCGCAACATCTGGGTGTTGGCATGGGTCGCGGCGGCCTACGCAGCGCAGAACCTGCTCTACTTCCTCTGCCTGGACCACATCTCCCCCGCGGGGTACCAGGTGCTCGGCCAGACGAAGCTGGTATTCACCGCCTGCCTCATGCGCGTGATGCTCGGCACGCGCTTCTCGCCCGCGCGGCTGCTGGCCCTGGCGCTGCTGATCGGCGGGGCGGTCGCCGCGCAGTCTGGCGAGGCGTCCAGCGCGGCCGCCCTTGGCGAGAAGGGCAACGTGCTCTTCGGCTGTGGCCTCACGGTGTTGTCGAGCTTGCTCTCCTCGCTGCCCAACGTCGTCTACGAGCGGGCCCTGAAGAGTCAGCAGGAGGAGTGGACGCTCAACCTGCAGCTCACCTTCTGGATCCTCTTCTGGCTTCTCGCCATCAGGGCTTATGGTCACAGCGAGGATGTAGGGGTGATGGAGGGGGGTGGGCTCGCTGGGCTCACAAACAGCATCGCGGAGCTCACTGTTGGTTTCACGCCGGCTGTCTGGGCGATGGTTTTCTTGAAAGCTCTGAACTGCCTCATTATCCCAGCTTGCCTGAAGTATGCTGACAACATAGTCTACGGCTACGCGAAGCCAGCATCTATTGTGTTGACGTGTGCCACCACTAGCGTTGTCACCTCGAGCCTGCCAGAGCCGAGCTTGGTTGTTGGTTTCGCGATGGTGGTATCCTCCATGTGGCTGTACGGCCGTGGCTGAGCCTGGTCATCGGGCGCAGTCGCAGTCCATATATGTACGGCGAGATGCTCTCGCATGACATGGCGCTCACTTGTTCAGCTCAGCAGCCTCACTTTTCGAAGTACGTATTTGGGGTTTGGCCGGGCAATTGGCATTTTTGAATCGCCCAGGTTTTTGTTCTGGCACGTTCTCATCGCCGATGCCAGAGACTAAGATTTTCAGCGGTGTAGGTTTCAATCCACTTCGATACCACAACGGTCTCGAACGAGCCCATGCTCGAACGTCTCTTAGACGATTACATTGTGAATATAATGCATGATCCAATTCACGTGCAATTGTTTTTTTCACTCCAGATGCAGCACGTAGGGCTGAGTAGACGTTTGGTTTCTGATTTCAAATGTGGTTGGGATGCGTGCGATGCTTTCCCATGCGAAGCTGGACCAGGACTCGTGTTTGCATTGATGGAAAAAACAGTCGCAGAGCAACATGCACAATTGACATGATTGGATCTTGATGACGTAACGCGCCGGATGCGTCCAAGGCGCCCCAACGTAAGACTGAGAGTGGTAGTTTCCTCCAGGACGTCCCTCGCTGCCCGGGGAGCCCGAAAACGGCGGAAAAAGTTGCAGGACGCCTCTCCTTCTGGACCCCTCTGGAAGCCTCCGGAGGTCGGCTCCCTCGGGGCCCGCCGCCGGCGATGCGGGAACCCCTTCCAGCGGCGCAGTGGCGCTGCTGCTTCGGTAGGGGCTTCTTGCCGTTGGCAGATGTCGCAGCGGATCTCTCTCTGCTGCATGCGCCCACGCGCCCCAGCGCAAGACCGAGCACTAGCACTGGGGTTCTGATGTTACAACCTACTTCAGCCTTTATCACCAGAAAGAATTTCGAGCCCAAAGATAGTACCGAAACTGGGGCAATTTCACGTGTCGCCCCCTGGGCAGCGATACTCGTTCGACGCTTCGCGAGCGTGTTGGGTAGACACTGTGTCGATACCTTGTTGGATGATCGAAATTTGTTCTGAGATGCGGCCCTTAAGTACGACGGGAGTAACCTAACACTGGGGTAGTACGGCAGGTTCTGCTGCTCCTGGAGCAGGTGTTGTTCCTCCTTGACCTTTCTCCTTCCAATTTGCTCCTGCTATCGGGCGGAGGAAGATCTCGTCCTCGTCGCCGTCGCCCACTTCCAAGGCAAGCCGCGTGCGCACGGACCGTGGGTCGTCATGTTCCTCCTCCTTCTCTTCTTCCTCCTGGTCCTCCTCCTACTTATCCTCCTGAGTTCTCCTCCTCCTCCTCCTCATGCTCCCCTCGGTCCTCTTACCTCTTTCTGTACCTGTGTTCCATATCCTCCTTCTGCCCATCCATTTTCATTATCGCCATATCCCACCCATGCTTCCACAACTGTTCATCCGATGAACGATTCTCGCTCTTCTCCTGATTGCATATGGGAGGAATTCGGCCCCCGCCACGTTTTCTTACAACAGTTTCCACAAGTATTTCAAACATTGCTTTATCTGGCTGTTTACAGTCCGAGTGCTGTCGGTGTTTCAACATGGTGCTCCCGCTGCAGCGTGGGCTTAATTTTCGGATCGGTGCGTTGCTCCCGCCGTTCACAATGGCGCTCTCGCTCCAGCGCGGGCCACTTCTGGATGCAAGGCCTTTCTCATCGTTGTCGTCCCCCGCATTTCCGCTCCTCCGCCTTCTCCTGGTCCTCCTGTTCTTCCCGCTCTTTCCACTCCAGCTCCTGCTGCAGGTATTCCTCCTCCTCTTCCTCCTCCTCCTACTTCTCCTGCTGCTCATGCTCCTGTTCATCAGCCACCTCCTTCTCCTCCTTCTCCTCCTCCTCCTCGTCATCCAAGAAGCGCGGCGCAGCTCCTTTTTTTCCGAATGCGCATGACACGATGGGGTCCTCTGTGAAAATTCAGGTCCGATATGACACGGGTCGGCGGATATGGAAAACTAGCGCAATGGGAAAGGCTGGGTGGGAGGGGTAGAATGTCAGATATTGCGTGAGCGCACCTAGCTTGCTCGTTTTCCCCTCTCCCTCCCTCTCCTTGCTCTTACTTGCTCCTCCTCACTCCTCCCCCTCCCCCCCCGCGCGCCCCTCCTCCTCCTCCTCCTCCTCCTCCTCCTCCTCCTCCTCCTCCTCCTCCACCTCGTCATCATCCATCACCAGCAGCAGCGATAACATCCGCGTCGCCAACATCATCGGCAGCAGCAACATCATCATCGGCAGCAACATCAGCATCAGCATCAACATCAGGCGCAGCAGCAGCGTCGTCATCCTCCTCCTCATCATCATCACCGTCATCATCGTCATCATCCTCCGCCTCATCAACATCACCCTCTGCATTCTTCCTTGACGTGATCCGTCTTATCCTCCCCTTGGCAGGTGTGGAGGGTGAGGCAAGCGAGGATGGCGACCCAACGTAACGCGCCGGATGCGTCCAAGGCGCCCCAACGTAAGACTGAGAGTGGTAGTTTCCTCCAGGACGTCCCTCGCTGCCCGGGGAGCCCGAAAACGGCGGAAAAAGTTGCAGGACGCCTCTCCTTCTGGACCCCTCTGGAAGCCTCCGGAGGTCGGCTCCCTCGGGGCCCGCCGCCGGCGATGCGGGAACCCCTTCCAGCGGCGCAGTGGCGCTGCTGCTTCGGTAGGGGCTTCTTGCCGTAGGCAGATGTCGCAGCGGACCTCTCTCTGCTGCATGCGCCCACGCGCCCCAGCGCAAGACCGAGCACTAGCACTGGGGTTCTGATGTTACAACCTACTTCAGCCTTTATCACCAGAAAGAATTTCGAGCCCAAAGATAGTACCGAAACTGGGGCAATTTCACGTGTCGCCCCCTGGGCAGCGATACTCGTTCGACGCTTCGCGAGCGTGTTGGGTAGACACTGTGTCGATACCTTGTTGGATGATCGAAATTTGTTCTGAGATGCGGCCCTTAAGTACGACGGGAGTAACCTAACACTGGGGTAGTACGGCAGGTTCTGCTGCTCCTGGAGCAGGTGTTGTTCCTCCTTGACCTTTCTCCTTCCAATTTGCTCCTGCTATCGGGCGGAGGAAGATCTCGTCCTCGTCGCCGTCGCCCACTTCCAAGGCAAGCCGCGTGCGCACGGACCGTGGGTCGTCATGTTCCTCCTCCTTCTCTTCTTCCTCCTGGTCCTCCTCCTACTTATCCTCCTGAGTTCTCCTCCTCCTCCTCCTCATGCTCCCCTCGGTCCTCTTACCTCTTTCTGTACCTGTGTTCCATATCCTCCTTCTGCCCATCCATTTGCATTATCGCCATATCCCACCCATGCTTCCACAACTGTTCATCCGATGAACGATTCTCGCTCTTCTCCTGATTGCATATGGGAGGAATTCGGCCCCCGCCACGTTTTCTTACAACAGTTTCCACAAGTATTTCAAACATTGCTTTATCTGGCTGTTTACAGTCCGAGTGCTGTCGGTGTTTCAACATGGTGCTCCCGCTGCAGCGTGGGCTTAATTTTCGGATCGGTGCGTTGCTCCCGCCGTTCACAATGGCGCTCTCGCTCCAGCGCGGGCCACTTCTGGATGCAAGTCCTTTCTCATCGTTGTCGTCCCCCGCATTTCCGCTCCTCCGCCTTCTCCTGGTCCTCCTGTTCTTCCCGCTCTTTCCACTCCAGCTCCTGCTGCAGGTATTCCTCCTCCTCTTCCTCCTCCTACTTCTCCTGCTGCTCATGCTCCTGTTCATCAGCCACCTCCTTCTCCTCCTTCTCCTCCTCCTCCTCGTCATCCAAGGAGCGCGGCGCAGCTCCTTTTTTTCCGAATGCGCATGACACGATGGGGTCCTCTGTGAAAATTCAGGTCCGCTATGACACGGGTCGGCGGATATGGAAAACTAGCGCAATGGGAAAGGCTGGGTGGGAGGGGTAGAATGTCAGATATTGCGTGAGCGCACCTAGCTTGCTCGTTTTCCCCTCTCCCTCCCTCTCCTTGCTCTTACTTGCTCCTCCTCACTCCTCCCCCTCCCCCCCCGCGCGCCCCTCCTCCTCCTCCTCCTCCTCCTCCTCCTCCACCTCGTCATCATCCATCACCAGCAGCAGCGATAACATCCGCGTCGCCAACATCATCGGCAGCAGCAACATCATCATCGGCAGCAACATCAGCATCAGCATCAACATCAGGCGCAGCAGCAGCGTCGTCATCCTCCTCATCATCATCACCGTCATCATCGTCATCATCCTCCGCCTCATCAACATCACCCTCTGCATTCTTCCTTGACGTGATCCGTCTTATCCTCCCCTTGGCAGGTGTGGAGGGTGAGGCAAGATGTCGGTGCGAAGCACGGTCCTACACCCCACCAGAGCACACCTTTAGGCCTTACCAGAAACGGCGGCGAGAAAACGATCATAATGTGGACGGAGGACCACGGACTTGTATGCGAGAATGCGCTTGGCAAGCTGGCGGCGCCGCCTGGTGGCAGCAGCGTGAACGTTGCTGGACACGCCGGCGGGGACGTCCCACGCTGCGCGGATCCACCCATTCAGCAGGAGGGTTGAGCACTCAGGCTCGGGGAGCTCCGGGGCGATCTCCGGCAGACGCAAGTCACGATTGTGTCTGACTGCTTCGGTGGCAGGGCACTGCCAGAGGATGTGTCTCGTGGTGGCCCTGGTGCGGCACGCGGCGCAGTCCTGGGCCACGGCGTTGTCGAAGTTGTGGAGGCGGTCTGGGCTGGGCTCGCCCCTAACGACGCGCCGCCAGGCCCAGCTGTGATCTGGGCCGTTTTCGTCCTTCCCATGGAGGCTGGGGATGTTGACCACGTCCTGCCGGTTGACTGTCGCCACGCCGGCCTTCATCATCCATGAACGCCAGGCCTCCCGCATCATGTGGTCGAGCCCAGTGCGGGTCGCGTTCGTGAGGGAGAAGGTCAAGTCGCCGATCTCCACCTGGAATGGGTCATTGGCCGTGCGCCAGCCCATGGAGTCCAAGAGCTCGCGGGTCCGCGGCAGCCACCCAGCAGACGGGCGAGCTGCTGGCTGGGCCGGCCTCCACCGCTAGCGGACGAA